TCTATCTATCTATCTATCTATCTATCTATCTATCTATCTATCTATCTATCTATCTATCTATCTATCTATCTATCTATCTATCTATCTATCTATCTATCTATCTATCTATCTATCTATCTATCTGTGTGTATATATAGTGACCTCTCCTTCTTTTTCTCCCATTCTCTATCTTTGGTTTGTTTTTCAAGATTTCCTCTCTTGATAATTTCATACTCCATTTCTCTTTCACTACAAAAATCAAATTTTCTTCAGCAACGTAAATTAGTCTAATTTTTGGTGTTTCAAACATTGCTGACAAAATAAAGTAGACATATTTTTAAGTATTACCAATAGCATTGCTATGTGACTGAAATACCTTTAAAAGCCAGATTAAGCATCTATTGTATAATCACACCTGGCAGAAATACGTCAAATGTGTTCGTTTCAGATTCAAAAATGAATTCTAACTACAGAAGTTTTGTGTTTAAAAAAAAATTATCAAGATTTAAAGAAAATTAAAACTGTACGAAATTATTTCCTCAGATGGAGAAGTTTGGTTCTTTATAATAGATTTCTTCTTTGTTCTATTGTTTATGTACCATAGGCAATGCTTAACGCTGCACTAATTTTAAAGAATAACTGGCTTGGTATTACGCGGCAATATAGTTCATGCTCAGCATGTTAGTATCATATTAAGTAATTAATTATCTAACACAGTCCTACAAGAAAGTTAACACAACAACATAGCTTTAAGCCCAGATCTTTAATGAGATCTTTTTAAAAAAAAACAAAAAAACAAGGCTTTTGAGCAAAACAAACAACATGGAAAAGAAAAGATTACATTAATATTCTTTTTTTTAATTTCTAAGAAGTGTGAAGACAGAAATAGTATACACGATTTAATTCAATTTATATCTCGACTAATTGACATGAATTGTTAAACATACAAGTTTGCATAGGTGCGTCCGACTAACTTTTATGACCTACAAGATGATCTTTAGTCATTGATTTCTTCTTTTAGAGATCAATATCTTTTATTTTAAATGAATTTTAGCCACAATGATCTATATATTGATCGTGATCCCTCAAAATATACAAGAAGGATGGTAAAAAAATTTTAAGTTTTGTTGGAACTATTTCATTTAAAAATGGAAATAAAAAAAAAAAATAATAACTTGTTTTTCATCAAGTGTCTATCGTCAAATTGTTTAGCATTTTAAATTCTGAAATAAACAATTCATGGACTATAAGTGACATTCGTATGTCAAAAATTGCTGACTGTGTTTTGTTTCAATTTCTTAAAGTGCCAATTATAATAATTTTGATCGAAAAAAAAATTTTTTTTTCATTTTTAAAAAGAAATGAATAATATTGAAAATATAATATTAAAGCGATGCAATGATTAACTAGAGAGTTTTTTTCAAGCAATGTGTCCCCTGGGCACCCCCGACACACACGTTACTCCTCGAATGCGATAAAACTTAAAGTAATGCCTTTGATTCAAACTTCCATTATTTGAATGTATCGTATGAAAAAAAAATATTTCCTTTAGCAATAAGAATTTATGCCATAATGTGAACGCAAACAAATGCTCCTTCTGTATTATTTTTATTATAGCCAACGAGTTCATTTTGAACTGATGACCGATTCCAAGCAAAGAAAATACAAAGAAATAGAAGTGATGAACCAGCAGATCGGTGTACCAATGATGGTCACCATTTAAGATCCAGCTCGGTAAACGATGGATGATTAAACCATGAATAACACTTGTATCACTCAAAGTTTTTTTGGTAAAACAATTGAATTTAAAATAAATGTCATCCTTCAAACAAACTGTTTTGTCCTGTATCGAGCAAAGGGCAGTTTCACAATACAATTTTGCCAATTTTTGTGTGTAGAAAACTGCTTAGATGGAAAAGTCGCATTTATGCCTTCAAGAAACGGCTACTTGCTGCAGGATGCATGGATCATACCAGATGGCCACTACTTTAAATTTATACAATAGTGTGCTTACCGGGAAAAACTTTTGAGGTGATTCATTGAAATGGGTATTTAATATTTCGAAGGATAATCCTTTTGTGGTCTTGGGACTACAGATTGAAATAATGGATTATTACAAAATTGTCATGTTGTACCTCACAAACCATGTTTGCTACTAAAGTATAATGAGTATTCTAATACTTAAGTTTGCATATCTCTAAAATCCAACAAATACATCTGCAAGTATTGATTTATAGATTAATGTACTTAGTACCAGAATGTTTAGGTACAAAAATTTAAATTATTTTGAACCACATATAATTTTTTAAATCATAAGCATACACTGGTCATTTTAAAGATAATAAAGGAGATATTTAAAAAAAATCAACACGTGTTAACTGACATGGTTAGAGAAAATAAAGATAATTTTTGCAACAAAATTACAATTAATGCAATATCTTTACAGACAAATTTAGGACTTCATACAATTTGAAATGTCTGTTTGAAAGCAAAATTTTTGATAATATTAATGGAAAAGCCTTAAAAGAAAATGTACTCAATTGTACCCAATTTAATCGATATAACGGATTGGCTCTCAGACAAAATAGTGGCAAGTAAAAAACCCAGTGTTTTCTTTCCTTAAATCCTAATGTCTTAAGTCTGAACTCATGTATTAGAAATTATTTGAATATCATGAAATTAGACGTTTTAAGAATGAATTGCAACTGGATTAGTTTCACCTCTGGTTTGCATCTATTTCGACCTGTTGAGATTAAGAAAACTATTTTATGTTATTGGTTATTTATTTACGTTGATTTCAATGGGAAATCTATTCTGGTTAGCTAAAGCTTTAGTTCAAAAGCGAAGATACGAAACGAATTTAGTTAGTTATCCGGGGTTGGACTCTACTTTAAATTGATATCTTATTTCAAAAGGAACGGTTGAGGCGACGACACTAGTAACATTTGTGTCTATTGCCTCAAGCCTTCAAACCCCTAGTGCATGATTTCCTCATCAACACCAGTAACAGAAGCATTGCAAATCCCATCTACATGCATAGGAGCCAAAATGATCAATAAATTGATCGTGGGCCCTTAAGATATAGAAGAAGAAAATAATTAAGATCCGTGTTCTCTTACTCTGATTGTTACAAACCTCACTTAACATATTTTCATTTTTAAAATGTTATCTTAAAACATATTGTGAAACACAAATCTTAATCATCAAATTACTGAGCTGTTTGGATTAAACTTTATTCTTTGTGTGCGACCAGCATGAAAACGGACAAAAAAGGGTACCGTTCCATCAATTTTTTTGTTTAATTTCCATTTAAAAACATTATAATTTTTTTTTAATGCACTAGTGTTCTTGGAACAATGAAAAACTCTTTATTTCTTAAGAATTTAAAAAAAATATATATTATATTGACAATCTCACCTGTTTCATTGTTTGTTCATGTCTGCATAACCTTTGCTCTGAGGTGACAACAATAAATAGAAAAAAAGGGTTACATTTTAATATGGCATGCGTGTAAGTAGTCTCTTAATGGCTAAATATAAATGTGATTACGTGAGAGTGTTAATATAGTTGAAGATAAGTTGGCTTTTGTTGTGTTTGAACAAGGCGTAGCATTACAGGTTAACTTATTTGTTGATATTGATGTTAACAGTGCTTGAAAGTTGTAGCCACATACCTAAAAAATGAACACACCTTACTCACGTTCTCTCTCATTAATTCAATATTATCGGAAATCCTTTTTTTTTAACTTTGACAGAGGTTGACCAGAACTATTCAAATCAGTGGGTGGTATTTGTGTTTATTCAAAGAGTGTCTGCATGATGGTATCGGGCCTTGGGTTTGTTTAACTAACATTAGAAATCTTCCCCCCACTCCCACGCCCACCACCCCAATTTTTTGTGTGTTAAAAACCAATAATAAATATAGCTTCGTGATTAGGCGAGCTGTGAAAGACAGTCTTTAGACATAGTTTTAGAGTACCTCTCCTTCGCTCACATTAAGTTTGTGTCTCCTCAGAAGCAGAGTTTTAAAAACCAAACGCATCAATGTCCATTTATGGTACTTCGTAGTATTAATGCACCTATTAACTCTGCTGGAAAAATTCCTATTTTATCAAGTTCCCAAATAATTTCATTGTAAAAAAAAAAAAATATAGCTCGTACTTGAAATTGTGTTTATAGTATCTGAGGGTTACCTACTGTTATCAGTATGGAGTAATTAATCTCTTATTTAGGTATATGGCTCGTTGTGAAACAGTACACAACAAAGATGATACCATATGTTAAATACAATAAAAAAGAATACGATTCTCAAAAGTGGGCTAATAACAATTAATAAATGTTATAATGTTAATTATAAATTTCAAAATTAAAAGAAATATAATTAAAGCTATTAACTTACAAAATAGTAAAGATGGGCTCGATCCGGAACAATGTTGAAGAAGATACAATGTGGTAAAAAAGGACATTGATGAAATGGAATCTACACTCAAACAGTAAACTAATGTCTGTCCCTTAGCAAAGGTCTATAGAAAAAATAGCACACGCTCAAAATATTTTTCGTCTTATCTTCCTCTCAATCTCTCACGGCGTTTATATAGCCTGTTTCATAGATACTTCTCGAACGGACTACGCATGGTATTCCTTTCTGGATATTTCTACATAATTTTATGAACGATAATTTTAGTTAGTTGTAAGCGAGGTCAAGGGAGACCTTTTTAGTTAACAACACCCTAATAGCGCTGCCGAAATTAGGCCCAGCTTAAGTTCATTCATCAGAAAGATGAATGCAAGTAAACAAGACGCGTATAACATTGATAAAGAAATCATCATGAATATACGTGCAGATCTGAACATTTTTTGGGGATATCGATCGTATATCGATCGTATATCGATCATATAAGTATTTTATTAAACAATGATTCGGTCATACGTGTATAAGATTATTTAATTTATTCATCAATGAGTTCGTCATATTATTATAACATGCTTTACTTAAAATCAACGATGAGTTGGCCATTAATAATAAGATGATTTATTTTAAAACTTACCCAACAGTGTAGCCTAAAAACAATTTACGAAATAAGAAATAGTTGTTAAAAGTGCAAATTTAAGGGAAAAAAAACTGATAAATAATTTTCCCACAAAAAAATGAAGAACTTGCAATACATATTTTAATTTCATTTGTTGTGTTTATAATTAGGGAAAAAAGATACTCAAACCAAATTGTGAAATATACTTGTCTCAAGTGGAGGTGTTTGAAATACTGTGTGGTTTCCTAGATAATGAAAATAATACCTCTATTTTTCTTCTTCTTTTTTTAAAATTTATTATGTCATGGCATATAATTACAAACATGCAGTAGTTTTTACTTTATTAACTTTAAAAAAAATTATTGTAATATGTCTCCTTTAAATTTGTTAAGGATTCATTGATAAGCACAAATTACGCCTTTTATATTTGAACTACATGTTTTTTTAAATTTTATAAGATTATTAAATTTTAAATATTACCCCTTTCGATTGAATTTTGTAGTTTTAAGTCGTTTAATTGAAAAAATATAAAACTGGTAAATGAATAAAATGAACAATGGTAATTAATTTCAACATGAGACACAGTTGACAAAACAAATCTTATCCAAAAAATAACAAGCAATACTATTTAAGTAAAGAAGTACATTATTCAATGTAGTTTAATAACATATATTTTTATCATATAGGCTAAATGATAAATGATTTAAAGAGTGTAAGTCCTTTGATGGGAAAGAAAGAGTTAAAGTCATGGCATGCACCGTAATTAACGAAGTGGCCGTTTTATTTAGTGAAATGTCAAAACAATATTAAACAATTGTTTGTAGGTAAGGTGTTATATTTTTTTAGTTTGCGTTTCAGTCGCTCACATTGCATAACCAGCTTACCGACAGTGCAGTGGTTCTCAAACTTCTTGATAAAATGACCTTTGAATATAATTCCTCATGTTTTTGCGACCCCCAAATGCAAAATTATTTTCGTTGCTACTTCATAACTGTGGAGTAAATGTGTTTTCCGATAGTCTTTTGGGAAACCTGTGAAAGGGTCGTTCGACCCCCAAACGAGATGCCACCCACAGCTGCTCTAGTGAGTAGGGTATAGCCAGAATTTATAGATTAATTTTATAGTTCTTCAACAATCAATAAATCTTACTTGTCTTTTTTCCATCGCACACATAGGGACACTACTATCACGATTGTCACTACGATGGCGGCTGTTCCTAATGAGTAGAAAATGTGTTATCATAATTTTTTTTTTCAAAGTTTATTTCAATTTTTTATCAAAGAACAATAGGGTAAATAAAAATCAAGGAAGCAACATTGTCTTTTGAAGGTATTCAAAACATGCCAAAATTATAAATTTTTAAACTGCATAAAGTCCATTTATTTTTACATTTAAGCTTTTCTTTTCAATTTTCTTACGATGACCAGACATTCTGGTTTCCCCAGGTGAGTCCCTATTTGGCATCGCCTGTCAAGGCGTCTGCAAAAATTCAGAAAATGTCAAGGCCTATAGTATTTTCCGACGAACTACGTAGTATTTCATAGGCAGTGACAATGATCCCTCAATTAGAGTGTTTGTTCTGATTAAAACAACATGTGGACACCAGATAAATCACAATTGAAAGTCAATACATAGAACCATTTGCTGGTTGTCAAATACAATTTCATTGCTTCATGTGATCAATTTTATATGCTATTTTTTTTTTAAATCCCGATATTATCAGAGCTTTAAAATAACCTCAGAAATACTACTGTGTCATTGTTATAGAGAGCTTGTTAACATATTTTTTCTCGTGCGTGCCCTATGATTGACCCCGCATGAGACGCTGTGTTCACAAACGGGTGTGGCTTAGTCCTTTGATCTATTCCTGTTTATTCCGCCAGCTATTAAAAATAATTAATCTGTTCCAAGTAGTATTTTGTAGAATGAATCTGATTTTTTCTAGAAACGTCATACGTTTTCTGGGAGGCAGGGCTTACGCGACCTATATAAGGGATTGACAGGCACGGACGGAGGGACGGTGATTTAGATAGATTTTATTAACATTACGAGGCGTGTTTTATTCTTTGTGTATTTGTGTGCTCATATGTGTTTATTTATCATTACTCATTGGCACATTATTCTAACTGTGTTAACTGTGTACCGGTACGAGATCTACCATACTGTAAGTTAAAGATTGTCATTATATTTTCTTTTCTTTTATAATTATCTTTAGACTTAATAAATCTTATTAATTGTAACTAGAAACTGTTTTGGGTCGTATCTTTAATATTGTTGATTCTATGGTATCGTCCTTTGTTAGGCACTGTTTACAACGAGCCAATTAAAATTAAAATAGGAGATTAATTTCTCCCAATACTAGTCAGTGCGTAACAGTCATGATTATAAAATTAATCAATTTAATTAAAATCTTAATGTTACATATTTCTGATATACATCAGTTGAGACTATTTCTTTTTAATTTTTTAACAACATGTCAAGTGTTAATAGTTAGTTACTCACTTACAAACTGCTTTTACTTTTAAGAACATTGAAGAAGTGTCACGTTCAATGTCAGATTCAGAAAGTATTAATACATTATTCCTCCCCAAAAAAACACTTCTGATACTTTTCTACTTCAGCCTTCACAAACATTTTACCGGTGATTCCATCGTAACGTCTCGCTACGTCCATAACATACAGCATCAGTCTATTATAAAATTTACACTAATGTTGTTGTTCTTTGACCTTCATGAAGGCCTGTCTTTTAGTCAGTTTTCAACAACAGATTTTAGCTGTTCCTCCCGAAAAATTCCACGCGTTCGGCTACCCCAAAAAATATGTTAACAGCAAATTTTCTATTTTGGTGATCTATTATAAAATAATTGACCTTACCTATTCCAATTTGTAAGTCATTGTTATGATCGCTTTTAGTGTTGTCTGGGCACGTATCTGTTAACACAGGAAAAGAATGGTTTGAAATGTACATGAATGTAACGTGTTAATAAAATAATATTATTATAATGATACAGTACTGCTAAGACTTTTGGTTACTATTTAAATAAAAATTAACTTCAAGCTTAATCTGGCTAAACAAGCCCACAGTGGGTTTGAACTGTTCATTAATTGCACTAGAAACCTAAAGTTATTTTACTATGACTTTTTCTGCAATGAAATTGTAATTAGTTGTAATTTTTAAATGCTCTCTGTCCGTCGCAAAACTGTAAAAAATTTAATAAAAGGTTTGTTTTATTCACTCAGTATATTGATAAAAAATGGCATAATTTTATGGCATTTGTGGTATTCAATATATTACCGTCCACAACTGGGTAATCAATATCATGCGAGCAATATTCTGGTTGATCTTCTTCTCCTAACAAGCAGGCTTGTAGTTTTAAACCACTTAGTTCAGTGGATGCAGGTACTTTTATTGTGCTGTTACATTTCTTTGGGTCGATGAGAACTTTCTCAATCTGAATGGAATTTAAAGTGAGATTTAAATTTTTTATATCTTTGAGTTGTGTCATTTTTTAACACAAAAAAAAGAATTTAACCTTTAATATATTTTTTTTTAAATTTAATATTTTTCTTATTCTGATGAATGCAAATTGTGCTTTGATGTTAAAGAAATGAAACACATGTTAATGTATTTTTTTTGTGAATAAGATAAAAGTTGTCAGCATTATGGTTAATTTGAAATAAAGAAAGTCTTAAATTCTCTTAAATTAAATACTATAACCTTTCTTAGGTTTAGAAAATATCCTGAAATGTTAAGCATCTCTTCTCCCGTATTGTACCTCACTTTATTAAAAAAAAAATTTAGTATCAAATACGTATGTCACAGTCAGAATCACGGTTTGGATTTGTGCCCAACGACACGCACTCCTTACTCTTGGAGGCTCACTGAGACAACGCACCGCTTCAGTCGACTAATTACTATCGTTAATTTTGTATCAATCTGATCGTTCAGCGAGAGCGGAAGCGTGTCCGAGGAAATTTTGGGACGTCCACATGGGTTTGTATCTTCGTGGCATGGCGGACCTGTCCACCCGAAGAAAAACAACCCGGCCGACCGTTAAACACCCAACGCAACGGTAGTAGTAACGCTACAACATTCTTACTTTTTGCCGTGAATGGATATATGGTTTCGTTGGCGGAAAACCCATGCCGATGATTTTAGCTATGCAGACGTGATGAAGTTGCTATTCTTTCTTAGGGATTTTAATCTCCATCTTGAGGGTTTATTCAAAACTGTTTAGTGTTAAATAAAAACTTGCTAATTCAAAACTCATTCTCAAGAAGTGTTGATGATATACTAATGATCTATTAAGTGGTTCCTAAAGTGGGTGTTACCAAAGACGGGGGGTGGTAGAATAGAGCTGATGGACAAAAAATATTGTATGTGTTAATTTGTGTGCTGTTGTTGCCTGGGGAAATACAAAAAGGGATTTGAGATTTATAAGACCCAATTAAAGCCATAGTTCTCAGGGCACATTTCTTGGAGTTCTAAAAATCAATGAAAAATGTCAGTCACCACGACTCAGCTTCAATTTTTTATTAAAGTAACACTATGATTTTTGGGTGTGTTTCTTTGTTTGTTTGAAGTTTGTTAGCATTCGCAACTAATATCTTAAGAAAAACTGCAAACCGTCGAGCCGGAGATCATTTAGCCATCCCCAGCGTAACCTTTATTCCCTAAACCCGAATAGCGGACACTCCGCCGCTTAGGCAGCCCGCCCACTGTATCATTGGCTGATTGGTGGATTGATTGATGCTGCAAACAGTTGATTGGTTGATTGATTGATGCTGCAAACAGTTGATTGGCTGATTGATTGATGCTGCAAACAGTTGATTGGTGGATTGATTGATGCTGCAAACAGTTAATTGGTGGATTGATTGATGCTGCAAACAGTTGATTGGTGGATTGATTGATGCTGCAAACAGTTGATTGGTGGATTGATTGATGCTGCAAACAGTTGATTGGTGGATTGATTGATGCTGCAAACAGTTTATTGGTGGATTGATTGATGCTGCAAACAGTTGTATAAACAAACCTTCATAACGCAGAATGGGCAAGGCAAATATTTCAATCCTTGTTAACCCTTGTCATGCAGCACAGTTTTACTACCTTAACTTGTCGCACAGTTTCATATTGTACCATCAAAAATTGTATTCTAAAGTTTTTATTTTTAGTTCACTATCTGTACGGTATTCAGTATCTGCACATTATTTAAGATACGATTTTGTTATTACAGTGGAGCGTCAATTTTCCGAGAGGAAATTCTTCGAAACATCGTTATCCAAATGGTCAGTATTTTATTTGTATCACAATCCTTCTCAGTTCTTCCGCATGGCAAGAAACGTATGTGTACAAACACTAGAAATACATTTTCAAAACACTAGAGCACAATGTGTGTAAAATACAAATTGTTTATACAGCTGTAGAGGATACATGAAGTGACCGGATTGGAATAATGTGAAAACATCTTGACCCACAGGGGGGGGGGGGGGGGGAATGTGTGAACATTTGTAGAATTAAAAAAAAAAATATAGGTTTCTACAATTTATTTAAGGGGGAGGTGGATTGTAATTGACCTATAGAACCAATGAACTTTTTTTACAATTTCACTAGGGTATCAAAAAGTATTTTGCAATATTCCAGAACGTTCTATACTTAAATTGCACTATTTACTATGGCATAAGAAGTTATTTAATTAAATGTGCATAAGGATGCTTTAACACATTTAAATTGATGTCTGTGTGAAGTGCCTGTGATAACCTTGATGATCAAAATCAAAATGTTTTTTTTTAGGTTCCCGGAGCTCTTCTCGAAGGTTCTTACTATGAGCTAAAGAGATACAACTAGCATATAAAAGTTTATTCAAAGTGTAGCCAGTTTTTTTTCTGCTCACAGTTGCATGGTGACCTACTTGTCTTCTATTTTAAACAATTAAATGTCGATTTAGCCTTGACAAAAGTAAGAGTTTTAAGTAGAAAAACTAATGAATTGGTAATATTGATATCATTATTTTTGTTTTAAGTTTTTTCAAAAATACAATTCGGAACGTTGGGAGGTTTATTCAATTCATTCATTTTTTGATACTTATTTCGATTTTTTCATTATCATGCTTATTATTTTTCTCATAGGAAAAGGTGAATAATATTTTTAAAATCCTTGGGCATGGTAATATTTCCATTATTATTTTTATTATTTTAAAATAACATTAAGGAAAGTTACGCTTTTTCAATTGATTCATTTTGTGAAATGCATCATCATCATGCTCATTAACATTGTTATTGACGGAATAAAACTTTTTGCATGTATCGCTGGCTCGTTATATAATTATGTAGTAGGCCTACTGAAGACCTGTTTACTTTTATGATGTTGGCCACCCATTTACGATTGTGAGATGGCTTTGCTATTCTTCCTTAATGAGCCGTCAGACATTGTTTAACAAAATAAATTTCCCCACGAATGAGGCTGAGGAAGGTTAATTACCGGACAAAAAAAAATTACGTCTCCAAAGACTAATGTGTTGGTAATAGGCTAAATACAAATAGAGTGATGATATATCTTGCCAGCTATTTATGAAAACACACATCATTAGTTTGAAGATAGCCACGAAACATCAAACATTATGGTGATATTTTTTATATTCTTAATAACTGATTTTTAGATGACAATTGGCTCTAATTATGGTAGGTATATTTTCTAGGTTGTTATTAAATTATAAAAGCAAAGGGTCTGTTTTGCATGAAATTTGACACCCCCCTCCAACCCCATCCAATTTTCTCTTACCATACTACTTTAAAAAATATTTCAGAAATTTAAAATTTTAAATTAAAATGATGAAAGTTCAAGTATTCATAAATATTTATTGATTCATAGTCACGATGATCTAATTTTATGTGCAAAGAATGTGAATATTGCTACGTCCCCTCTTCATTGTTCGATGCATGTAGAATTTATGCGTGAACGAATTTAAAGATATTTAAGATGAAGGTTACGGCTTCGGTTTCGACCGTAAGTCTCGGTTGAGCTTTTGGTTTCGACTTCAGTTTGAACCGTAAGTCTCGGTTGAGCTTTTGGTTTCGACTTCAGTTTGAACCGTAAGACTCGGCTGAGCTTTTGGTTTCGACTTCAGTTTGAACCGTAAGACTCGGCTGAGCTTTTGGTTTCGACTTCAGTTTGAACCGTAAGTCTGGTTAAGCTTTTGGTTTCGTTTAGGTTTCGGCTTCGGTTTCGGATGAAAGTTATTTTTAACTTCAAGCCTTGTTTTGGTTTTTGCCGAAATGAGAAAAATACTTTCGGTCGGTTTATAGGTTGGCGTTTTAATTTTAACTAAAGAATATCTATCTACACCACATAAAACACGTGGCGTATTTTGTTTTGCATTAGGAGGCCCTCTTTAAACTTATCAGTTAATATTTAAAAAAAGAAATATGTGGAAAACACATCCCTATTGTAAATTGTTAAATTATGGCGTGTATTAATTAAAGTTTGAAAAATGCCTGTCAAAACATCTTAATAATGTTCTGAAATTCCAAAGCTATTGCAGGTTGTTGTTTTTTCTATTTAATATAATTATGATAAGTTATTTTTATGTTGATCTCTATAAATGGTGGCCTTGTTAAAACACTTTATTAAAAGTACTGTATTTTTAAAAATGCTTTCTTATGAGTAGAAAATTCAGGAACTTGCGATATTTAATGTGTCCGTTTAATATTAAATTTATATTAATTGTTACCAAAACACAGTCAAACTCACATTAATGAATTTTTTATCAGCTTCACTCCACTTACGAAACTCGATGTATCTGCCATCTTTAACCTGCGATTGAGAACAATCAATCTGACATGTCAACACAACTTTATCACCATGGCTAACGTGGCCGATTGCACACTCTCTGTTTGCCTTCTCTATGATGTACTTTAAATGGTTGATCGTTTGACCTTGCAAGTGTGCTAATGGAAAATTTTAGAAAAAAAATATATTACACAAAATTAATTGATGAATACGTGAAATAGAATTCCAAAGGGAATAAATAATGGGTACGAGAGAAATAAAAAACCAATTCTAAAGAGCAGGTTTTATTGAAATTGCTTGCGTTCTTTTAGGTAAAATTATTACTAATTAAAAAAAAAAACACAAAAAAACTTCAGTTAAGTTTCATTGTTATATTGTTTAAGTTGAAATATTTTGAGCCCTTATTTATGTAGAATTCTGACGTTTTAGACAGCAAGTATTTCTTACAAAATTTCACCTCGTATAATTTTATTGTGTTATGTTTGACTAAAAAATGCCATTCCGTTCTCAAAATCTCTTCGTCAAGTATACGTCAAATATAATTATAGATATTTATTTGAAGGGTTTTAAATGTGACAACTTAAAGTAATAACTTTGATACCTTTTGGACCGGGTCTTTTACATGTTCTATCAGCTTACAAAATATTTTAGGGCTTGCAATGAAATTACAGGAAAACATTAAAGAGTGTTTAGGTTAGATGCCTGCATCAGTAGACAACGTAAAACAAAGAATTGCGAAATTCAAAGACTTATCGTGCTGGAAGTGGTAAATCGATTTGTTTTTGCATTTTAGGTTAAACTTTCCTTTTTTTAAAAATGCCAATCCCTGAAATCTTGAGCTGCATCGGTTGCCATCGCAATAAATTTTCAAGAGCTGGAAATCTAATCAGCTTATTCCAAGAAAAGAATTAGCATTTAGCCGCAAACGCAGCCCATCCATGGTAATTAAATAAGTGCTTTACGGGTCCGAGGCCGCCCCATGCTCCCCCTTCCTACGCCTCTGGTTCCTAGTTTCTGTTTGTTAACGTTGTTGATATAAACATACCAAACATTTTTCTGTTTCTCACAACAGACACTCAGCTGTCACTTATTTCCCTGGTACTGCTATCTGTTAGATAATTGTCCAAGGACAAGCTGTTGACCAATGGCTTTAAGATTGAGTCAAGAAGTCAGATTACAAACATATGAATATAACGCTATTTTCTTTTATCTAGAAAGATAAAACAAAAAAAAAAACAAAAAACAAAAACAAAAAAAAACCAACGTATCAACACTTGAAATTCGACGACCAAACTAGTCGTACTTCTCAGAACTCGATACTTTGCCAGGTGAATGTTTTTTCATGCCCTAAGTAAAAAAAAATATGTCATGATTACTTCTAAATAAATTCAATGCGGTTTAAATGAATTCCTTTTAATTTATCGGAATTAATCTAACAGTTAGTCTCTCGTGTTTATGTTAAAATCACATTTTGATCTAAACAAAATTACAACTATTTCAACTTTTTATTGCCGTAACCTAATCTTTTTAGATTTTGTTGAGTTGATACAAATCTTTTCTATTTACTTTTAACTATGATTGGTACTGATTAAATTTTCTTATTCGATTAATCGTTAAAATTTTAAGAGATTAATTTCAATAAATAATTACACATAGCTTTTAGCTGATCTGTTTACATTGCAGATATGCGTTCTTCTGGGTTAAATGTAGTATACACAATTCTTTTGATGCCCTGTCGGACACTACGACTCAGTTAAATGCTATATTTTTTATACAATTTATTCTGTTTTTTGTTCGCTGACGAAGGCTTCATGCCAAAACGTTCGTTTTTATGTTGCGATCCTTTGTCAGGTTTAACCATACTTTATGTTACTTATTACGTATTTTACTAACCTGATTGCAATCTTTCCCTTATCACCCTTTCAAATGTAGTATACACTCTACACATTCACCAAACACTAGTTTTTTGCAAATAATAATGACTTTATTTCACAGGAATACGTTTTTACGAAGTATATATATATTTTTATATATATATTATGGATTTTAACTATTGTTAAACTATTTAATTTATTAAAACTTCTTCTTTAGTTAACGATATAATTTCTTTTTTGAAGTTGCCGCTGTAACGTAATGGCTCTTACCGTCAAAAATGCATTAAATTTATCTATACTTCTGTACAAGTGCGTCAAATGAGTTCTGGCGTAAAAGGCACAAAAACCTTTATATAAGGAAAAGGACAAAATGGCCAAAGAAGCAATCTAAAATTGATTTGAAACATTGGAAGGTTTTTAACCCATGATTTTTTTTCGCCTTCTTTATTATTGTACGCGATCTAAATAGTGAATACTTTACATTCGGGGTGCCCCAAAATGGTGGTCTCAGGATCGGGGCCAGACCGGCCCCGATCCTGAGACCACCATTTAAGCCTTACGATTCGGGTCCGAACAGCATGAAACTACATGTTCAAATAAATAATTCTGGAATCGGTCTCTGGTTTATTTTCAAAACGTGTCTGGGCCTACTGCCATGAACCATCACTATCTATGGACCAGGCCAACTACAATGAACTAACGCTATCTTTGGACAAGGAATTACCAGGACCTGGCCTACTTTATTATAGCTATCAATGGACAGGGCATAAGTTATGTCTCCCAATGTTGACTCTACCCAGATTTAAAATTTCTTAATCTGACCATATATCATCGTACCAACTAAAAATTTGAATGTTAGCACAAAAAAAATGTTGTTGTTTTTCTTTCAGTTTCTGAAATTATAGAATAATTTACAAAATTACTTTGGTTTAACTAACAATTTTAGATCTAATTCAAACTTATGTAAATTATGGCTCCAAATATGTATCTTCTATATATAATTTCTTTACTCACCAAAGCCATTTATGAAAGCCAAAAGGAACAAAATTTGCTTCATGGTCTGGTTCAGCGATTTTTTTTTTAATTTCTGAAATAAGTACATAATTATGGAGCAATTTATGCATTTACCTTCATTGCAAATTTGCATAAATGACAAGAGCTCCCAGAAATAAATAATTTTTTTAAAGACTCTTGCAAACAATCCTCAGTGTAACTTAGCTGAACCAATAGTGTATGCATTGCGTAACTTCCCAACTACAAAAGTAGCTTGACTACACAAGCATTCAAGTAACGCCGTTCAAAAAATTCCCAAATAAAGTTGCCCAAAACCCTCCACGCCATCTCCTCTGAATTATTTAATAATCTGATGCCCCCCCCCCCTTTGGGGATCACTTTTATTAAAGCGACTATTAGCATAAAAAAGGGAAAATATTTTGTACCAAACGCAGCTCCAGTATTTTTAAGACTCTCATTTAGCGCAATTACCGTGAATTTTAATTATTGAAATCAGCGCAATATGGTAGCTTTAGTGAAATTTTTATAAAGAGAATTATATATTTGTATGATATATATGGCTAAAGCTATGGGTATACATCTGGTTTTATCAAAAAGTTATAAGCGGAGAATTTAGTTGGTGGTGTGTTACAATCCAACATGAACGAATGGGTATTTGTATATATATAAATAAATAAATAAATATATATATATATATATTAGCTGATATACCCGGCTTTGTCAGGATTACTTTCACTCACGTCTAACATAAATGCAAGGTCCATACGATGTCATATATTGTATTACTGTAGGGGAGCTCTATGAAAATAAAATAACTTTTCGATACTTTTTCAATGTTGATTTTAATATCTGTAGACTATTGAAGCATCTAGTCCTAAAACTGCAGTAGTCATCACTCCCACGGTGAAGTTAAACTTTAAAATAAGCATTGGTAATATCGTTTACCAAATGTGTTAGGTATTATGTTTTCACGTATTAATACTTGAGCCCTAGTCTCCAAAGAAATTGGCATTGCCTGTGCCACAGTAATCTTATTCTACTGTTGCCTTCACGTGGTTTGAACGCACCCCCTTATGTGTCAATATATAGCTTTTAACATATCTATATCCTTAATATTATTATTTAGAGTAATATTTAAAATGTCTACATTGTCTCTCTGTCTATCTAGATATATCATCTATCTAATATAGTAAACATAGCGCGTGCTTCATTTTATATAGCCTACTTTTCACCTTGTCACGGATTACATCTTTTATTTGTTTGAGGCATTTGTTTTAACATACAAATGAACGGGGTTTTTTGCCCTTAAAAGTCTGATGTTTAACGGGTTTTTTTTTTGGAGAATAATTTAGAAAATATTGTTTCTTATATTAAAGAGTAACAATCATAGTTTTTTAATGACTTACCACATTAAAGATTCATCGCTAAACTTCTCAAATTCCATATGGTTGACAAGCTACACATGGGACATTTATTTTTGGGAATTGCCGATTTCTTTTGTGGGCCACATACCATGTCACTATTTGTCATTGAAAGCATTTCCGAATATCATTTTACAAAATAATAAGCGGTCAAAATAGCGGAAAAGAATTGTGGTCATATATTTTGAATACGACTCGGTTAACACAGCTGATAGAAGAGTGGGGGAATATAATTGTTAAAGAGTGAGCTATAAATTTTTTAAGAGAATAGGAATAAGTGACGTAGTAGATTTGTTTTAAAAAAAATGTTAAGTCAACATACAAATATAAAGAAAAAAATTATAAAAATCATATTTAGACTAGTCGGTGAATCTGTCACAGAAGGTCACATTATTAGATATGAGAAAGGGGAAAGCGCGCGGGCCGCATTAACACTAAATCTTTCTGTCATGTAGTTTTAAAATGCGAATAATTTTTTTTAATTTTATTGCATTGTATGATACAAGCATGGCAAGAGTGCGCTTTTGATAAGAGTTTTAAAAAGTTTTTAAAAGTTCGTTAGCACTTAATGCACCACCAAAATTGTGTAAATCGTAGCAATCTGACACATATTAAAAAAAATCCTGATTAAAATTCCCGCTAGTGCATATGTGTGAGGGAAATTCTGAGCCTGCCAGCCTGGTTACTTTCAAAATATAGGGCTAGTAAAAAAGGCCTTTTCTACGATAAAAAGTCAAAATTCATTCTCCTTGCAATAGAATCTTCCTTCGCATCATTAATTCATCAATTTTGCCTGCTGCTGCCTACTGTTTTAAATCTAAAGATTGGCAACTCCTGTGGGAAAGAAAGAGCATATAAAGCCTTTGTCCGTCTGATTTTAGATTATGCATCTTCAATCTGGGACCCATTTACCCAGAAGAGCATTGACAGGTTGGTGGAGGTCCAGCGACGAGCAGCACGCTTTGTCCTAAACTGCTAGAGGAATACCGACAATCCAGGCTCTCCATGATGTACAAGATAAATAATGGGCTGGTCCACTGGTCCGGTATTAAACAGAAACTTGTCCCTCTCCCCCATAGACAGCGACGAGTCCATGACAGGCAATTCAGGCTCATACCAGCAAGAAGCCAGCATGGGAGCTGCTCATTCCTGCCCAAGACAATCAGGGACTGGAAAAATCTTTCAAAAGAAACGTTTGAGGCGACAACACTAGACACATGTGTGTTTTTTGCCTCAAGCCTTCAAACCCCTAGTGAGTGATTCCCTCACAAAGTGGCACTGGAAATCTGTGAAATTTTCTCATCAACACCAGGAACAGAAACATCGCAAATCCCATCTACATGCATAGGAGCCAAAATGATCAATAAATTGATCGTGGCCCTTAAGATATAGAAGAAGAAGAAGAAGAAAACATTCTAGCATTTAAATAAGTCATGGTAAAGGATGGGGTGGTTGCTCCTGTACGAAGTGATCCCAAACGGCTCATGGACTTGGCTTTTCTTTTTGACATTACACAGGAGCTGAATGTACTCAAGAAGACTTTACAAGACCAGGGGTAGCTTGTCAGTGTTACCTACAACAATGTCAGGGCATTCTGCACACAACTTGTGTTATGGTTCTCTGAGAAACCCTTGCAATTTTCCAAAATGCAAAGTGCTCATGGACTCGGGCACACCATTCAGTAATAAGTGTATTGATGCCATTGCAAAGCTAAAGGAAGAATTTGATCACATATTTGCAGACTTCAAAACACACATAGTAACTTTTAAAATTATTGCTGACCCTTTCTCCTTCGATGGGGAAGATGCCCCCCCCCCCCCCAAGCCACACTTGAAAAAATATATTACGCTTCAAATGGAGCTGATTGATTTTCAGTATTTAAAATTATTGCTGACCCTTTCTCCTTCGATGGGGAAGATGCCCCCCCCCCCCCCCAAGCCACACTTGAAAAAATATATTACGCTTCAAATGGAGCTGATTGATTTTCAGTGCAATTCTAAACTCAAAACTAAATTCAGGTAGTTGAATGGAAAAACATAAAAACATGGACAATATATGACAGCATTGTATTCCAGGTTGTTCAAGCGAATAATGTGCCTTTTTGGGAGTACCTATCTGTGTGAACTGCTCTTTTCCACAATGAACTTTAACAAGTCAAATTTCAGGGTAAACTTACTGATGAGCACCTTCAAGCTATGCTGAGGGTCAAAGTTGCTTCCTCACTCAAGACACATGTTGCTCGGCTGCATGTATAACAAGAAGCGCTGCCATGTCTCTGGCAATAATTAATAGGAAGAAGAGATTGAAGCCTATCTCTTGAGAACCCTTAATGTTTTTATTTGTTATTAATAACGGTTGAGCAGATTGTAACAGTTGTACTTGATTGAATTTATAGTAGCCTTGTTTTTTTAATAGTTGATGCAGCCCAATCTCACTCAGACCCTAGCTCCTGCGGCCCCCGGATGATTTGAGTTTGAGACCCCAGGTGTAGTGGCTCTCAACAAGGGAGGAGCCACTACCATTTGGGGGTTGTAATGGCGTAAGGCGATAAATGACCTGTAGATTTAGGGGCGCTGGGACTAACTAAAGGCGGGGGTAAATTTTGACAGAAATTCTTTTCTTTTTAAATAAAAATTTGAAGTATTTGTACGAAAGATAAAATACAATTATGCTTTTGAATGTTAACATTGAAAAAGAGCATAGGAAAGATACTAGTAAGACCCTAAGTACCTTTTTAATAAATAATTGCTTAGAATTTGAATTTTGTTAATTAGGGGCCGTAAGACAAAGGACCGCCCCAAGCTTCATTAACTTTCATTTCCGCAGCACTACAAGTAGAAATGATAATATAAACGTTATCCATCCTGTTAACGTATATATTTTTTTTCTCTTTATACATTTTCTTTCCAGATTAGGACAGAGTATCTTTTTTGTATTTGCCGAAGGTTTATTGTTGATTAAGAATTTAAAATATTGTCATTTTTATGTGGAATAAAACAAAAGCCCAAAGTGCAACTGGGTAAAAGTTTGAGATGCGATGACCACTGGATCAGTTAAACAGAATGTGGCTACCAAAGACTGGTTGCCAGTGTTGTTGTAAAGTTTGTTAAATAAAAAACTAACTCATGACTTAACTGTTCATTTTCTTATTCCATTCTTTTGCAAAAGAAACAACAACCTCAAAATATATGTGCTATCAACAGTTAAGTGTGTGAGTCGCTTTTAGAAATTATTAGATACTTAATAATTTCTGAATTACGAAATGCTCCCTCAGAGCTGACACCCAAAGAATCAAAAAGCACATAGATATTGTGAGGTTTCATCCAATGAATTTACTGTAAGAGGTAAATTAGTATAATTTTTGTTATATCTTATTGGGAACCATCATATAATGTAATTCATGGCGTTGAACTGTCTGATTTTTTTTTTACGTTGAAGAGATGAATGTAAAACTTGAGACGGGAGTAGGAGGGTACATAGTTATTGATACGTATTGAGATGTAAATGAATCACTGGATATTGTGAGTAACGGTTGCACAAATTTTCATTTTTTTACAAAAAGCATTGGGACACAATGAAATAATGGTAATGTGAAAAGAAATGTCCCGCCATCTGTACATGTGTCATGTAAGAGCAAAAATAGGCTACTTATATTGTTTGACTTGGTGACATATTTTCATGTTCATTATAACCTATTGTGTAGTCTGTTTTGTGATGTACGTGTTATTCCTGAGCAGGAATAAATTTTGTAGAAGAAGGTGGTTTTTCATGTCTCTCTGATAGCGAGCTGCACTATACATGTGTTTATGAAATGTATAGTCTGTGTAAAATTGTATCTTTAAAATTGCATAAATTATGGAAAAGGACCTCTGTTGATTCACTGCTAGTACGTTGTATGAACAACGTGTAAAATAACTTGATGAATTAACCCAGCGGTTCTCAACCTTCCTAATGCAGCGACCCTTAAATACAATTCCACATGTTGTGGTGACCCCCAATAATAAAATTATCTTCGTTGCTACTTCATAATTGTAGAGTATAAGCGTTTTCTGATGGTCTTAGGCGACCCCCGTGTAAGGGCCTTTCAACCCCTAAAGGAGGCGCGACCCACAGTTTCATAACCGCTGAATTAACCAATCAAGTAGACAAGGATTGATACAATTGTGCTGACGTAGAACTCCCCCACCTTCCTTGCACCCCAACAAAATCTAGTGCTGGAAATTCTGTTAACAGTTGCGCTAGAGTTTCTTGGACCAGGCTGCAATGCTGGTAGACGGTTCCCTATTGTTTTATAGACTATTGAAGTACATGTTATTAGGGCGGTGTTCAATTTCCATTTGCGTCAGTAGACTTCTGATGCTGGCCTCCCAGTTTCTGCCAGTTGTCTTGACTTCTAGGAAGCGGCTTGCCAGCGAAAAAATCCTGGCTTTCGTGTAGTCTGCCCACTGTCCGTACCTCTTATTCTGTCGAGTCGGCCGCCACCCAGTTTTTGACACCGATTAATACTAACTCCAATCAAATATTTGGATCAGACACATTTTTTCCCACTTTGCCATTCAAATTATGAATTTTAAAAAAAAAAAATAGCTATAATTGTATATCTTAAATGAAATCTGTTAACAATAACTAAATTTTATAAAATAATTAATTACAAATGCATATAAAAATTGAGCTTTTATCACTAGAGAAACAATGTGTAAAGAATGCAAAATTTTATTTTTCAAAAATAACAATGACATTATCGTAATTATATTATTTTTAAATTTAAAGAGTTTTAAATGGTTCCTTTCTCAGATAAAAATTAGGGAAATAGTTTGAAAAATGGACATTTTTACGCTCGTTAAAAAAATAAAAGCATCTTTATTGATGACAAATAATAAAAGAGAAAAAAAAATCGAATAAAAATGAGATTCCAAAGGAAAGATTACGTGCAACTAACACCCGCTGACATTAAAAGAGTATACATTATATGGTACGCCAGAACGTAAGTCAAGGAAGTAGTCCCCAGATGACATCCGGAAAAGTGTTTACAAACTTTTAAGGTTGGCGGAACAATTGATAAAGTATCAATGCACCGTTGACTTGTGCCTGACTTATTAATTAAGTTTAT